GATAGATAGATAGATAGATAGATAGATAGATAGATAGATAGATAGATCTATATTGGTAGATAGATAGGTAGGTAGGTAGACAGAAAGACAGGCAGGCAAGCAGGTAGGTAGGAAGGCAGACACACAGACAGACAGACCTTTTGGATGGATGTAAGGATAGGTAGGTAAATATGTAGATATGTAGATAGATAGATAGATAGATAGATAGATAGATAGATAGATAGATAGATAGATAGATAGATAGATAGATCTATATTGGTAGATAGATAGGTAGGTAGGTAGACAGAAAGACAGGCAGGCAAGCAGGTAGGTAGGAAGGCAGACAGACAGACAGACAGACCTTTTGGATGGGTGTATGGATGGATAGATAGATAGAGATGGACAGACAGACAGACAGACAGAATGTGACAGCGGCGGCACAGTAAAGCAAAGCCGCTGCCACTGCATTCAAGGCACCGGCTTCGAAGCGGTGCAACAGTCAATGGGGTGAGCCTGCAGTGCCAGTGCCTCAAATGCCCCCCCTACTGCCTTTTAGCGCCCCTCTGCCGGTCCCCTTGGGGGCGCTAAGAGGCGGCAGGGGGTGTTTGAGGCGCTGGCATCGCAGGCTCACCCCATTGATTGTTGCACCAGAGCGATGCAAGGGCTCAATGGGGAGAGCCTGCGGAGCTGGTGCGTTGAACTCAGCAGCGGCACATTGCGAAAGTAGAGCCCTAGGCTTCCTCAACCCTGCCCTGCTCCAGGAAGGAGGGAACAGCACTGCCCTCTACGATGTGAGTGCCCCAGGAGGGGGAGCAGCTTAGGAGGCTGATCCCTGGCAGCCTGTGAACTTGCTGTCAGGCATGGCAACTACAAAAAGGGGTGGGCTTGGCTAAGCGGGATACTGGATATTGGGCATGTGGTCAAAGCCCCCCTTCCTCTGCCTCCCCTTAGGTGATCCATGGGTGCCATTGACTGTTGCACCGGAGTGGTCCATCAGAGCTGCCGCATTCGAGGCGCCAGCTCCAGAGCGGTGAAATAGTCAATGGGGTGACCCTGTGGGGCCGGCGCCTCGAACACCCCTGCCACCTCTTAGCACCCCCCTGCCGGCCCCCTTGCCTCTTAGTGCCCCCCAAGGCATCCCCCCCCCCCAGGGGGTGGTACTACCCACTTTGGGAAGCACTGTTTCAAACTATTAAAGGCCTGGGGAAAAGAAAGGGCTCCCCCTGCTGTTAAAAATACCCTTGCAATGTAACACAGAAGTGAGCACCAACCCTATGGAAGGAGATTCCAAAAGTTGGGGGGAAAAGTGAGAGAAAGTTGTTATATTTGTATCATAGACACCCATGTTTAAGGGGTTTGAGGGTTATGACACATTTACCTAATGTACTAACTAGGCTGTAACCAGTTTTACAGTATTTCTGATAAGATACTTTTTTCTGTTAAAAAAAGTATGCAGTTGCCTAACATAAACTATCAGACAAAAATGGTGCACATGCCAGATATTCAAATAGAAAGTTCTGTACAATATTGATTTTTTTCCTTGATGTCCTCTTTAATTTTAAAAATTAATTATTAAATACTCATGGTTTAGAAACAGTTTTGGGGGTAACTAAGAAGGAAAGCCGGTAAATGTAATCTGAGACAATTTATACTATAATAAATTGGTTAGACTTTAAGCTGTTGTAAGATTCCTTGCTATCATTCAACTCACCTTGTGGATAATATTCATATCACCTTGTTCATTTACAGCTTTAGGTACACAAAGTCTGAACTGTTTGCTCTATATAATATAGGCCTTGCAAACAAAAACCACAGATCACGCCCCTGACTGGATGGAATATTAAAGTAAATATATAAAGTACTATTAGACTATTAGACTCAGCTATTAACTAGATGGTTCCAGGGCTGGAGAATCTATGATCATTATTTAATTTAAAATATTTATACAGCCACCCAAATTACATCAAACTCTGGGCATCTCCCAACTAGCAATTAAAATAATATCCATAATACTTTATACATATACTTTATACGTATAAACAATGAACATTAAAAAATCTGGCACCAAAATTAAGGTTCCACATGCAGGCCATTGTTAAATCCTCTTGCCCACCTCACTTTCTCCCAGCACTTTGGGGAAAAGCCAGGTCTGTGATTTTTGGAGAATAACCTCCCTCTCCACTGGAAACAAATTCCTTGTGTGTCTAATCACACTTGGCCAAATAAAGTCAAGACTTTGGACTTTGCCCCTTATCCTTTGCCTTCCCCTTCCCCTTCTCCATTTCTTTCTATTAAGGCCCATATAGGTCCTCTATATAAGCACTGTGCCATTACTGCCAGTCCTATGCCAGTTCTAATTCAAACAAGGCACTGAGCATCTTATAAAATAATGCAAATATAATAAAAATGGTAATAAAAGCAAATAGCAAAACAAATCATCGTACTCTAAGGAGCAAAATTAATAACATCCAATCCATATCAGGACTGTGACTCTCATTACAAATTTACTCCAAGGTTTCCCCCAGCAAAAGGGTGGGAAACAATCTGATCTCAGCAAGAGTGGTGCTCCAGAGGAGGAAGTCAGCTGGGTCTCTGAAAATGATGTGTCTTAAGAAACGGGATCCAGAAAGAGTCCGTAATCTTATTGAGTAGGCATTTGGAGGAGGTAATCCCATAGATTACCAGACCTCAAGCCCTATAGGGCTGTAAACCAGAAAACTGAATTGTAATCATAATGAAGAGTAGATATAGATACAGCAAAATGATTATGTGTCATCAAATGATTGTCAACTCTTGGCAACATATTGGCAATCTAAAAGAGAGGTGATCAAGGCATGAGTGACTGTGAGCAGAGACTTCCAATCTAGGAAAGATGTCACTGTACAAACCTTCCCATCAACCATTACTGCTGACCATCCTAGTTGAAATGTGTGGGAGTTAGATTTGAATAATATTAATAATCTTAATGCCTTATTTTATTGCACCAAAGGAGTCGGAAGTCAATGCCTTTTTTTCCCCTTTTCCCTTGCTTTCCACTATCCACTTCCCTTTTTCCTTTTCTAATTTACCTAATATTTGCTTTTGTATTCTTTTTGTATGTCATATTATAAATTAATGAAACCATGAAAAAAAAAGATTTGAATAATATTCAGAATGCCAAAGGTTTCCCATCACAAGCCTACTGTGATTTGTAGGGATTGGTCGTGTACGATCCATATACAGGAGATGTCTTCTGCTCTGAGTGATGTACCTGGACTTGAAAGGTTCCACACATGCTGTTTCTTATATCTCTAAATGAGTTATAGTCATGAGACCAAATGCTGAATTTCCTTGAAATCCACTTCTCTCGTACCTTCTGGTCTTCTTTCTAGGTATGGACATTCCAGAAGAGCCAGATGGACCTGCTGGTCTCTTTCTACAAAAATAATGCTTCAAAAGCTGAAGGAGCACTCCAGCAAGCTCTCCACAAACTAACTATCCAGGAAAAGTGAGATATGCAGGTTGTGTTCATTTAAGAAAGGAAAACAGTATAAATGTGTCTGCACAACACAGTATGAATATTAAAATATCCTATTCTCTAGGAGGACATAGAATATACTGAAGTACCAAATAAGCTGCTTCATACAGCACTCCAAGCCATAAGTGAAGCTAAATAGATTCAAACTAAGGTTAACAGGTTGTGCAAATACAGTGGCTAGGTCTTTCATTTACATCTTGGCCTACTCTGTGAATACAGCCTGTTAGTTTTATTTGTAGGGATTAGTGAAGTTAATATGATTAATTTTACAAGATCTAGTTTCATATTGTCACTCAGTTAAGAACATTACTGGTTGATCAAAGGTCCATTCTACCTTCTTAAGTCAACCCCCCACTCTGGGCTGTTTAATTAAAATACTTAAAACAATTTTTTCCATTCATATATCCAGAAAGCCATTCTTTCCTGTCCCTTCTTCCCCAAAAGAAAGTTATTGAATGAGCTGGAAATATGCTTCAGTTGTCCTAATTGGAAGGGAAAAAAGAAATACTTGTTTTATTTTTGATGGAGATAAAAACTGTGGCAAGCAAATAGGATTATATACTTTTCTAAAGAAGACTCCAGGCTACTGCTCCCTCCTGATATCAGCCATTAAAACATGTTGATAATTTGTGAAGTGAAACTAATAGCTTGCATAGCCCCAGAGGCAGCCCTCCTCCTTTATTCTCATCAATGCTGAAGTGTTCTCTAGTGGGCTTTAAAGCATCAAGGCATATTATTATTACCCGCTTTCTGTTTCTCCTGCCTGCCACTTCTATATGTAGAGAACTAGAGGCTGTACAGAAGGAAAATAGGGAACTGAAGAAGAAGTACTTCAACCTGAAGGTAAGATGTTTGGTGGAAATAATTATATATTTCCTTTATTTGGTTTCTTGTCACCCTCTGCTGGCAGCAATGACTATTGCTCTTCTGCAGAAGAGAATAAATCGAGGAGAGAGTAAATCAAAGTCCTTTGCTGTGTTAGGAGCCCAGCTGTTGACTCCCAAATCTTCCCTCTTCTCTCAACAGGCTTTTCCCAGAGAACACCAGGATAGCAGGTCAGTATGTCTGTTCTGTCCTTTGGAAACATTAATCAGGACCGGCAGCCCATGAAATAGAGGCAGTACTATAGGAGATCTCTCTGGCAAAATGAAGGAGCTTGAGCCATCATAGGCCAGCATTGAAAACACAGGACAGAGAAAAACCCTAATATTTAGGGGTGAGTGGGGAGTAGTAGTTATCCTAACCAATCAAACTCATTTCAATTTGATGCAGAAAGAACACCCCAAAGCCGGTTGCCATCACTCCTCCCTCACAGACAGGTGAGAGATAAGGATCCTGAATCACTTCACTTGTTTCAGGGTAATATTTTGTGTATGCTTACTTAGCTATAGGGATGTTTGCCTGGATCTCTGATGCAATGTAGGATATGGACAGATATATCCTAGTATAAGATTTCTTATTATCTCAGGCCAACATGTACTTCTAGCAGAGTTAACCATGAATACATTGTAACTATCTCATACTTTGCAGTTACACCACAACGAATTTTCCAGCGCTCCAGTGAGGTGGTCAGGTAATTATTATTATTTTTTAGTTAGGGGTGATTCACACTGTTAATAGTTTCTATTAAAAAAAACCTCCTTTGACAGCAGTTTTTGGTAAAAACTGTCAAATGTGGAAATAAACAAGCCAGCAAAAATGCTACATTCTAGTTACTATACCTTTTGAGTCCACACAAAAATCCCAGTTGGATGGTGAAAATATCCCGAAGAGCTACTTGGTTTTCTGGAAAAGGATATTTTGAACTAAGTTTTCCATGGCAGCCACTATTCTAAATGTGCTCCAGATTGCGTAAAGTTTAGAAACTTGCTCAGAATTAAAGAGAATGAACAATGTTTTCTTCAAGAAATCAGCATTCAGAATTGAGATGGAAGGGATCCTCTATTCAGACAAGTGGCTTCTATTCTAAGGTGTGCATATTCTAAGCGAAATAAGTGTCTTTCCATATCTTAGAATCTCCTTGCTGCGACTATGGTCCTTTCAGTCTAGCTCCCTTACAGCAAAATATGATTGTTATACTTAAAAAAACCGTAATGGTACAATGCATTTGATTGCAGATTTAGCTTTCAGTTGTACTAGTGACAGCTTCTTGACCTATTGTGCCTCTTTTCTCAGCCGTTCATCTTCTATGGATTCCATTTCTTCCAGAGTCAGCCATCCCCTCAGCTGGCAGGTTAGTTTCTGCCACTGCTTTTCTTTTACCAGGAAATGACTGCTTTGTTTCGTGCAGTTATTTGAAGTAGTTTTGAGAATAAAATTCCACTGATACCATCTGCCCAAATGAAAAGCTGTTTTGGGACATAAAACATTCTGGGCTTTTTCTTCTCTTTAGCTGCACATGGCTTGGGCAGAACCACCGTTTCCTTAGCTGTAATGTGGTTAAAAAGGAGGTTTCACCGGGAGATCCTGAAAGCCCCAAAGCCCCAAACTGGTTTATCTGCAATAAAAAACAATAATGTTAGCTGTAAGGTGTTTCTGAATATTTTAATTGTTGCCCTTTTAGTACTTTTGTTCCATTAAACATTTCTTCATATCTCACTGTATTTCTATGTGGGCTTTGTTTTTTATAGTTCTTAATATTTTTGCAATGATTTTACATATCTAATCACTATTCTTAGCTTTGTGGTATGCTGCTCCGATACAAATGAGATAAATAAATGAAAATTCCTTTAAACTTTTCTCCCCCTTTATTCAGCATAGGACAGCCACCAGAACAACCCCGGCAGTCTTTGCGAATGGTAAGAACTGTCAACAAACAATAAATTTCTGCCGTATTGAGATTCCAGGCAACACAGGAGCCCAAAGGAAAAAAAAAAATCAAGAATCTTCCAGGGTATTATTTCTATAGACAAGCATCCTTTCACAGCTTTTTATTTAGAACAGAATTTATTGTGAAGAGAAGCCACATTCCCTCTCTGTAACGAATAAAAGGATTTCTGTTTGATCTACTACTCACACCACCTTTTCCCCACATACCTACCCTTAAACTTCCTATCACCTTTCCATGTGATCTCCACTATTCATTCCAGATGTAACACCTTTACATTCTATTTGACAGCTACTCCATCTTCAGACTCCATGCAGAGCTTATTCTACAGGTGAGTTGGAGAAGTGGAGAGAGGCCTAGATGGTGCTGCTGCTTACATATAGTTACACAGTGTAAGTTAAAAACATTTAGTATTGTCTTCCACAATGATCAGGACTTCTGTCACTTTCCCCTCCTTCCTCGTTTTAGGGCCTCTCCTTTCGTCTCCCACACCCCCAGTTCCAATGTCTTCAATCTTCAAACCCCAATGGCGAGTCAGAGTGCTAATAACCCTGGGCAGCCACAAGAAACTCCATACTTCAACCTCAGCATCTTTCCAGGTGAGGAAAGTGTTCCTCTTTGGCAAATATATGTTTATTCCTCATTGTTTTCGTGCAGAAACACACTACTTTTGGTTGTGATCTAGCTCCTTATGTGAATTTGACTTATAATGACTTGTAAATAATCATAACATCTAAGGCTCACTAGCTACAGGTGAGTCCCAAAGCACTGGATTTAGCTTGAGTGACCCTCAAAGTTGTCATTGACCAGTACTGTTTAAAGTTAACAGAAAGGGAACCATACACAAGGAATAATCACATCAACTATACTGTTATTTTCTTTTACGTAAAATTAAACCTTTGTCCTAATCTCCCTCAGTTTTGCCTACAAAAGTCCTCTTTTCTTTTGATGCATGCCTGACATTACCAGTCTGCCCAAAGTATATTGTGCAATTTTTAAGTCTGGCATTATGTATTCCAGAATGGTTAGACAAACTGACGCATGAAATATGCAAATGCCAAAAGCGACTAAGGTGTGAAGATAGCCCTTCAACTCCCACAGAACTTGCCCTCCTGTTGCTTTTGTTTTGTAGATCCAGCAGGTGCTTCTGTTCCTGACCACAATGCTGAAAGACTGCGCTCCCTACAGGTAAAAATTAGATTGTAGATAGGTAGTCCCAAAGGTTCTTTTTCAGGAGGCAACTAGACTTTCTTGTTTTTTCTTTTGAATATATTTTGCTTCTCATCCAAGAAACTTCTTCGAGTCTGACAGGATAGTGGGGAATGGAAGGATTTATATTCCTTGCAGACAGCTGGCAATTGCGTCCTTTTAGGGAGTTGTTGAAGCACTTGGAGGTTTATCTGTGTCCTCAGGGTCACCTGGGTGGTGCTCCTGGTTCCTGTAGTCTGCAATTTTTTCCTTTGAAAATCCATTCCTACTCCCACACAATTCCAAAGGTGTTCATCCCAAATTGTATAGCTAAATGTATTGTGTAGAGATTCTCAGTTATCTAGGTCATGGTTCCATTCCCCACCATCCTGTCAGAGCTGAAGAAACTTCTTGGATGAGAAGCGAAATGTCTTCAAGAGAAAAAGCAAAAAAAGTCCAGTTGCCTCTTGAAAAAGCACCTTTGGGACAACCATGACCTGGATGACTGAGAATCTCTACAGACTTTAGACATGCTAGGAAAAGCTTCACCCATTTCAATTGCTTTTCTTTTTCTGTCATTCTCAGCTGAGATTCACACCTCACTCTACACCATCCTTTCCCCACAGGTAAGTGAGACCCACATGGATTCTTCATTCTCATCCTTTCGTATTACATGACACAGCTTTGTGAAAGACGATGAATGTAATCCATATCCAAGTGAAATTATGGCTCCCCTCTACTCCCCACCCCCACCCTGGTTCTAGTTTTCATCACCCTTGCCAGTAAGATGAATATTTTTTTTTTTGCTGTTAAATGTTAAATTTGTTTAAGTCCCAGCTTTACAATTTAGAAATCTTAATGGCAGCATCCAAAGGAACAAAGTCCCTATTTTCTCCTCATTCCCCATGTCTTCTGTTAAACTAAAATTGTAGTACATTAGAAATACATTAATTGCCATTATCAAAAATCAGAATATAATTTTGCTAAGCAAGCTGAATAGTTAATCCAGTCCTAAACTGGGAAGACTGGCTCCACGCAACTAGTTAATTGTACTTTTCCCCAGGTATTCATCCATCAGCCAAATCCATCAGCAATAATGGGGATGACCAAAGCAGCTGTTCTCTTAAACATCATCCTAATGTTAGATGCAAGATAGACTCTTCTGTGCAGATTTCCTGCAGTATTTGAATATTTGAGCCTTATTAAAAAGCAATCAATTAGTAACTGAGTGATGCCATTAGGAGACTTGTTTTGATTAAAATTATATTTAAATATTTTTTGTGACTTGTAATAAGCCGTTCACAGTTGCCTGAAACCGACTGGTGTATGAATCGTAGTAAATAAATATAAATTATTATACAAGGCAAAGTGTATAATGCACTTAGCATATGTGACATAATTTTAAAATAAAACCCTATAAAGTCTTTTGAGGAAAATGGCTAAAACTAGCTGGTGAACTCTGCAGTAGCAGAGTTGTTACTGTTTTAACTGTCAGTTATAGCCCATTAACTGACCTGTGGATCCTAGCTCCAATCTTACTTTGTGACTAGATTTGCTAAGAAGAAAATGTATTACGTTGTATGTTCTCTGAGCTAAATCCTTTGTCTAAGATGAAATATGCAAACAATTTGACCCAGGTTGCACATAATGTAGGATTACTGTATTTGCAATCAACGTTGCTTCCCAGACTAAAATAAAAAAGATAAGCCTTCAAAAACACTATACTTAGAAAGAGGAAAAAGACAGATATAATTTACTGAACATAATTATCTATTAACTCATTCAATTTATTAAGTAACCAATCAACAAATCAAATTATTCTGCTTAGTTCTATCTTGGACAAGTTACAGCCTTTGAACATTTCACTAAGTATGGCATAATCCATGTACCATTTTCTCTTTACCTAAGGTTGATTAGCTTATTTCAGTACTTTTAAATTCTCTTGCCTGGAGAGGCAGAGGCTATTTCTGTAAAGATTCTACTTTAAAAAAATTGAAATAGAATTTTTAAAATACAGATGATTAATCTCTGTCTAGTCTCCTACCTCTTCATACTTTCACAAATTTGCAAATTCCTCTTTACTTTCTTCCAAATTAATCTCTAAAGCTATCCTCAGAATGTATGAGTTTTATTTTCCCCATCAATCTGAGGGCAATGACAGTTTGACAAAAGAAGATACCAAGCTTTTAGGACTGTTTGCAATTCTTTTGCAAGAGGCCACTCTTGTTATCTTACAATATCTCTAACTGGCATTGAATTCACTATATCAACCAACTACAGACCAGATATATGACATGAATGGAAAAACTGATGATAGGGAAAGCTGGTGAATCAAGGCACTAACAGAACAAGGAAAAGAAAACAGAGCAACTAAAAGAAAGTCACATGATAAAGAAGACTATTAAGAGCAGATATTAGAAGTCATTCCAAAAATGATATTTTTAAATAAAGGAGAGAATAAAAATGGAGGATTAATGATAAAATATCAATTTGAATATAACAGCTAGTCACCATATTAAGTACCAGTCTGGAAACTAACATTTTTTTAGTGTATCTTGAAGGCATGAAAACAGGAAAGATAGCCTTAGTCTGTCTTCTACAGGTGAAACTCGAAAAATTTGGATAATTGTACAAAAGTTCATTTATTTCAGTAATGCAACTTAAAAGGTGAACCTAATATATGAGATAGATTCATTACATGCAAAGCAAGATAGTTCAAGCTGTGATGTGTCATAATTGAGACGATTATGGCTTACAGCTCATGAAAACCCCAAATCCACAATCTCAGAAAATTAGAATATTGTGAAAAGGTTCAATATTCTAGGCTCAAAGTGTCCCACTCTAATCAGCTAATTAAGCCATAACACCTGCAAAGGGTTCCTGAGCCTTTAAATGGTCTCTCAGTCTGGTTCAGTAGGAATCACAATCATGGGAAAGACTGCTGACCTGACAGTTGTGCAGAAAACCATCATTGACACCCTCCATAAGGAGGGAAAGCCTCAAAAGGTAATTGCAAAAGAAGTTGGATGTTCCCAAAGTGCTGTATCAAAGCACATTAATAGAAAGTTATGTGGAAGGGAAAAGTGTGGAAGAAAAAGATGCACAAGCAGCAGGGATGACCGCAGCCTGGAGAGGATTGTCAGGAAAACGCCATTCAAAAGTGTTGGGACTTTCACAAGGAGTGGAATGAGGCTGGAGTCAGTGCATCAAGAGCCACCACACACAGACGGATCCTGGACATGGGCTTCAAATGTCGTATTCCTCTTGTCAAGCCACTCCTGAACAACAAACAACATCAGAAGCGTCTTACCTGAGCTAAAGAAAAACAGAACTAGTCTGTTGCTCAGTGGTCCAAAGTCCTCTTTTCTGATGAGAGCAACTTTTGCATCTCATTTGGAAACCAAGGACCCAGAGGGAAGAATGGAGATGCACACACTGCAAGATGCTTGAAGTCCAGTGTGAAGTTTCCACAGTCTGTGTTGATTTGGGGAGCTGTGTCATCTGCTGGTGTTGGTCCACTGTGCTTCATTAAGTCCAGGGTGAATGCAGCCATCTACCAGGAGATTTTGGAGCACTTCATCCTTCCTTCGGCAGATGAGCTTTATGGGGATGCTGACTTCATTTTCCTTGATTGGCCAGCAAACTCACCTGACCTGAACCCCATAGAGAATCTGTGGGGCATTGCCAAGAGAAAGATGAGAGACATGAGACCGAACAATGCAGAAGAGCTGAAGGCCGCTATTGAAGCATCCTAGTCTTCCATAACACCTCAGCAGGGCCACAGGCTGGTAGCTTCCATGCCACGCCACATTGAGGCAGTAATTGCTGCAAAAGAGGCCCAAACCAAGTACTGAGAACATATGCATGCTTATACTTTTCAGGTCTGATATTGTTCTATGTACCAATCCTTGTTTTATTGATTGCATGTAATATTCTAATTTTCTGAGATTGTGGATTTGGGGTTTTCATGAGCTATAAGCCATAATCATCTCAATTATGACACATCACGACTTGAACTATCTTGCTTTGCACGTAATGAGTCTATCTCATATATTAGGTTCACCTTTTAAGTTGCATTACTGAAATAAATGAACTTTTGCATGATATTCTAATTTTTTGAGTTTCACCTGTACATTTCTTTGATTTCAAAGAACTGGCATATAAAACAAAACATAAGCACCGACAACAAATAATTACTTTAACTGTTCATTTACCCAAAAAAAAATATATATATAGTTGGTATGTGAGCTTAGACCAATTAAATCTTATATGTATGGCTTTCATGGAATTTGAAAGAGTGGGGTTGCCAAATCTCTGCAACTCTGGTAAAGAACGATCCAATTTCTAAATTTGAATAAAAAAATAAATAAATTGGAACAAACAGAATCAAGACAGATACATCCAAGCATAAATGAAAAATATCTGTATTCCAAGCCTTAGAAAAGGTAACAAAATTAGGCAATTGTTGGGCTTCATGGTTTAATGACCTAGGCAAGAAATGTATAATTATTAAGGAAAACTTCTAGAAGAAACAATATGAAACCAAAGCAACGCAATTAACCAACTGAAGTTTTTTCAAATAAATCATTTGAGACCAGCGATTGCTGAAGGGATTCATATATTATGGCCACTTGCATCTAAAGGGTTGGAAACCCCATCTTTAGACTGTTGTGATTCTGCCTTGATAAACACTGAATGGAAAAAAGACTGTTTTTGTTTTTAAAGGCTTAAAGGGAAGCCTTCAAAGGCTCAAAGGGAAAAAAATACATTCTAGTATGTAAGTGATGTGGGTCACTGCTACCAGCAGGAAACTGCTAGGGACAGAAACCTCACTCTCAGGATTGACTAATCTGTCTCACTGATCCTTCCACCTGCTCCTCTGAGAAGTACAAACCCTCCAGCATCCACACAAAAGTCCTTCAGTCTTCATCCTCCTCCTCTTCCACATCCTCGTCTTCGTCGTAGTCTTCATCTTCAGCCTTTATCATCGCAGCTGCCATGTCTTCATCTACCTCATCGTCGTCTCCCAGACACACCTCCACCTCGCATGGGGCCGGCAAGTGTGAGTGAAACCACTTCAACACTTGCTCTATGCTCATTCCCGATTTGCGACAGAGCATTGGCAAGTCATTCTCCTGCAGCTGCGTGTGGGTGGCCCAATACTGTTCCAGGGGGCTTGTGTCTTGAGAATTTGTGCATGGCTCGGGAGGAGGAGGTCCTCCTAAGGAAGCAGGCTCAGGACTCTGCCCTGCATTGTCCCGGAACCATTTCAGCTGACCGTGCTTCAGGGCGTAACGCGTGTCTCCAAACCACTGGATGATCTCTGCCCGGGGTAACCCAGTTACTTTCTCCAATTGGTGATAATCTTCTCTCCTGGCCCATTGCCGGTGAAGGAAGAAGGCCTTTAACAAATCCAGTTGCTCCTTTGTCTTCCGCCTAGGCTTCCGTAAAACCTCTGGCAAAGAAGTCTGCTGGTCGCTGAAAGAGTGCTGATGGTTTTGCCAGTCTGCGACGCTGGTTGTCACTTTCGAGGAGGACGGGCTGACTTTCACTGAAGAACCCAGTGGAAGAACCACCGGGTGGTGCCCACCATTAACGGCAGGCGCAGGAAAGCTCCAGGCCATCGTGGGAGAATCTGGGACATTATAATCCAGGCCGAGGGTCGTGATGGGTGGATAAGCACCGGAAACAGTCTCTTTGGTATTCTGAAAATTCACCATGATCCCTGAAGGTTCAAAATGTTCCTGAGCTTTCCTATAGTGGGATGGGGTGTTTTCCTGCAGTTTCCAAATGTCCTGAGCGATCGTCCCGAGTTCTTTTGTCCCTGGAGCTGTACTACAATGATTTAAGGAGGTTACAAGAGGTTGCTGGTTCTCTGGATATTTACCGGAGTAGTGCAGGGAGTGGGGAGCCAGCTGGTGGTAGTACGAAGGGCTTTTACAAGTCTGGTGGTGCCAGGAGTTGCCCTGGTTGCCAGCCAGCAGGCAACTAAAGTGAAGTTGGTCCTGGTGGTAGATGAGGCGAGCCCGAGTCTCTTCGATTTCCTCGGCACTCCAGCTGATGCCGCAGCGCAGCCGCTGCGCCATGAACCAAGCCTTCACCTTCTCCATGTGCAGGCCGTGACGCAGGCAGAGCAAAGCCAGGTCAGAAAGGCTGGGATATGGGAAATAGCTGAAAGTCTGCAGCAGGTGCTGGTTACTGTCCAGGTCACTCGTCTGGGCCGCCTGGGTCCACACCAACTGGAGGTCCTCAGAGATGGGCGGCAAGCAGATCAAACCTGGCGGTGAGCC